ACTTCGGTGCATTAAAAGAACATGAATATACTCGCTTTGTCGTCGACACATAATGGGAACATCCTGCCGGCCCAGCCAAACAGCGCGCCCACCTTCGAGTAGGAAATGGCAGCGGCCGCAGAAGTGGCCAACAGATACATTGTTCGTCACGCCACCTGCACTGAAACGTACCAGCTATTTAATCGTGAAATGTAGCTAGCCATCCAAAAATGTTGCACTACACCAGCACTACCGCACAGTTAGCAGATAGGTACGGACCGCAGGTCCTGGTCTCTGTCTCTTCCGAGTACGGTCTCCGGACCGGTCACCGGCGCAACCATCTCCGCGCGGTAGCTATAGCACAGCTCTCCGGCCGGGGCCCGCAGTTCCTCGACTTCTTCGTCCAGCCAGACCAGCACGGTTCCCGCCCAGCGCCTGAAGACTCCGCCCTCCACAGATCCGTCCGTCCAAAGCCGGACAGCACACAGGGGCAGGAACGCGAGGTGCAGCGTAGCCACGCTTTCCCTTTCCGCCACCGTGGCCCCAGCCCGGATCGGGCACACGTCCAACCGGAAGGTGACACCAGCCGTCTGTTGCCACGGTGGGATTCTCGCTCTCGCCCAGGCCTGGCGGCCTCGCAATCTCCAGCGTCGGACCGAAGGCAGGCGCGCCGGTGCCGTGGCCTCGGCGGTCGCGCGCAGGGGGTCCCCTGATGGCAGACCCAGCGCCCTCCCCAGCAGCCTGGCAGCCAGCGTCCAGCTTCTCTCCTCCATCGGAGAAAGTCGGGCTTCCGCCATTAGTGCGTGGCACGGTGTTGAGCGCGGACACAGGTGATGATGCGGCCGCCTCCCGCAGTCCTCGCTCCAGGAGATTCACGTGCGAGGGGGCGGCCGCCGGCAGCCACGCGACGGCAGCGTGTTCGAGCGCCCCTCGGACGTAACCGATTGACCATCGTACTAAGGGCACTCTCGTCCAGGCCCCAGCTATTCAACCAGGTCGACGGCGCCGTAGCCGTCAGAACCTGGTGATCACTCGAGCCACGCCACAGAGCTTACGCCTCAAAGCGGTTGGCTCTCCGGTCCTCGGCATCCGGCATCCGCAGTGATTTGGCGTAGCCAGGACACGTGAGATGCTGGCCTCAGTCATAACCGGAAAGCCTGTAAAAAAAAAAAAACAATATGTGATTGACAAATGGAAATATATTGTATGCATAGAGTTGAGAAATCATGACGCACACTGCATTGTGACAGTAGATAGTTTAGTGTGATTGGCAGAGGAGGGACTTATTGTAATAAAACAATAAACAATTGAGGCATTGATTTGATTTTGTAGGTAGCTACCTACCCTTCTCGTATGAATCTGGATGATTTGTACCATTAAAAAAAAATAGGCCTAGGATCGGGGGGATGTCCCCACTTTTCAGCCATGCTAATTTTTAAAGTAAAATTAAATATTTATTTTTCATTTAAATTCAAAACTAAGAGCAAGAAATTGTTCGGCAAGGTGAGATAAGCACGAAACTGCAAAGAATTTGTTCATAGGGGTATTGGGGTTCCCACAAAGTGACATTGATGTTCTCTGCCCCCCTCCCCCCACACTTTACGTGAGGTTCCTGCGCCCATGAAAAAAAAACAAATTGCATTATGTGCATCAACACTTAACCCTTGCACTTAGAGAGGGCAACAAAGCCCACTATAAAGCCCACAAGACACCACCTGAAATCAAAGCATGACAAATGATAGCATGTAGGCACCTGACCTACTATAACCTACTGAACCAAACATACCCCATATATCAATATGTATGTGTAGATAAAGTATTAATGGTAGGTTGATACCAAGGCTGTTTAGTAGGTTGTAGGCATGCTGAAAGGATGAAAGATGGGTATTTGTTCAAAAAATATCTACAGTTCATATGAATATGCAACATGGGGTCCAGACTGGAAAAAAATACACGTTAAGCCGAATATGTCCGGCGTAGTGGCGGGCTTGCGCCGAAAATTTAAGCGCACGTCCGGCGTAACTTCGCATACGCCGAATTCAGCGCATGGCGGCGTACGAATTTTTCGGTGCAGGGCGGTCGCATAATTTTTTGGCGAAAGACAGTCACCGAATTTATGCGGTACGCTGGTCAATCTAGCAGCAGATTCGCCCCGTGGGCAGCTCTGGAGAGGTTGCGGGACGAGACGTCCCCGCCCCGGTCGTCGCGTGCTCGAACTGGCGAGCCGCCCTGAGTCTACTCAGCGGAGGAACGGCCGCCCAGGTGAGGCCTCAACCTTCGGCGTAGAGATAGGCATGGAAAACGTTGTTGAACGTCGCCAAGCGTCGTTCAGAGGGCCGAACGACGCTTGGCGTCGTTCAGGGACCAGATGGCCGGCCCTCATCTTCAGGGACCAGATGAGGGCCGGCCACCGGGGCAGCTCGCTCCAATACGGCACCGAATCGGCTGTCTCCACTCCGCCGCGTGTCAGCAGTGCCCAGACAAGCGGTGCCCAGCGGCGCTCTGCACCGTGAGCCGAGAAGAGGCTGATGTGCCAGGGCACGTGCTGCTCCGCTGCCGGGCCCTCGCTGGCTCCCACCGAGGTATTGGGTTTACGTGGAAATAAAAACTAATTCGGACGCTCAAACATGGGATACCTAGCGTACAAAGCCCCGAAACACTCTGCCTGGTTGATATAGCCTTGATCAGTATATGTGCACATGTGCTTTATATGAAAAGGGCTTAATTTTCTCACAAATAGGCACCTAATTTTTGGCACAAATCACTCAGAAATTTCGGTGCAAAATCGCTTGTGCCAAATTTCGGCGCAAGATGGTCTCACTGGCATCCGGCGTAGTGTATGGATGTTTTCCAGTCTGGCATGGGGTTAGGTAAGGTTTGATTTTGGTTTTGTATTTGTATCACATGTAAATATCATATCTGGATTCAGGATGTCAAATAGTGCAAGAATGTACAAAATGTATGCCTGAAAAGTGAATCACTCTTTCTGAACATTTACCAAAAGTGGTAGTTTAGTACGCAAAGGTTAGGCTAGGGTAGATGATGTTTTTTATCTTAGTTTATCTACAAAGTAACTGAGAAACCCTCGTCCAGACATAGCAATAGGTAGGCATGGCAAATCGTCAAAAAGTTAATATTTTTCTGCTCATCAGCATTTGACCAAAATAAGGGTTCTAGCATGTCTAGTTATTTCAGGTTATGTTAGATTATATGTAGGCGAGGTTAAAACTTTAACAAGCTCTAAGACATAGATATTATAGGATTAAATTGGACTTACTCCACAAGAGAATCGTTTTCGGTCGGAGCTTTCGACATGTATTACATGTCCTCTTCAGCGAAGGTCGGTAATCGGGGCGAAAATAAAACGTTCGGGTCGAATCGAATCTCAGTTAGAATCGAAATTATTCGATTCTTGTGCGATTCGATTCGACCCGAACGTTTTATTTTCGCCCCGATTACCGACCTTCGCTGAAGAGGACATGTAATACATGTCGAAAGCTCCGACCGAAAACGATTCTCTTGTGGAGTAAGTCCAATTTAATCCTATAATATCTATTTGCTCTCCACACTAACATGTCTCTAAGTCTCTAAGACATATATACGGGCTTCATCTGAGATTAATATTGAGCTAGGGGTCTGGGTACCCACCTTCCTGTCAGGCGATGATACTTGACACATCATCCTGCCAACATCCTGCTATCTGAGGCGGCCCAGGAACCAGCTCAAGCAATTACAATGAAAGTCAACAGTCGTGCAGGCATTACACCACTCCCCATGAAAATATATCAAGTAGGTAATTAGTTAATGACGATAATCCCGCCACCACAAATCTTATGAAACACATCAACATTGACCTTTGATATTCCGAAAAGAAATATCCATAATGATTTAAAGCGAACGTGTTCTTACGCAGCTGTGACATAAGCTGCGCATGCGAAAAACACCCGCTAGACCAATTGATGGCGAATAAACCTGTTGATGAAGAAATACTTGTCTCCCATTGGTCTGTGAACACAATCTGCAGGAAACGCAGCTTAAACTACAGCAAAATTTTGCAGGAAAATCTGCAGAAAGTAAGAAAAATGCAATTTAAACATATTTAGCCAATGAGTCTGGCCAATCTGTTGATATATTCCGATAGATATTGAGCACGATCAGTCATTTTGAAAGAATTACGGTCCGACTCTCTTTATTTTTAAAGCAATGACGCATAATATGATTATTGAAAAATTGACAAATATATTTTCTTGGAGGGAAAAGTGGGACTAGCGTTTAGTTAAAAATCAAAATTAATACACTGATCGAGACCTCGCTTTCAAAAGTATATATCAGTGCATTTTCGCATCGAATCTCTCTCAATCATGAACAAACTTGGGCAAAAACAGCAAGATTGCCTGTTTTGTCAATTCACACATTTTCATATTTGGGGGCAATTTTAAAGTTGATGGCCAATGTTTTCAAAGTCAACATTTCCACAGGAAAAAATACAGCTATTTTTCTTCCAAATTCATTCATTTGTAGAGTCCGACTCTCTCTTGTTTTCTCGCAGTTTCCGTTGTGCTCTGAGAGAAACGATCATGTGTATCATAAGCGTTTGGCTCACTTGAAGATGGCAGAATTTGCACTTGCATTTTCTGCCGTGTGGAAGACCAGAGGGAGTCAGCTAATTTATGACAGAATGTGCTTAAAAATGACTGGTGAATAATATCTTTTGTAAGTGCCTGACAAATATTTATATTTTAAATCACGCTCTTCAGCTGTCAAGTGAGCTCCAAATGGCCTAAATTGTCAGCTGTTTATCATCCTAGGTCAGCTCAAGGTCACAGACGTCAGCTGAAGAAAGTGGTGACCATTGGCCCTGTGTTGAGCGGACAAACCGGTGTTACCTAGTATTCTATGTACCGTGCTTAGAAGCAACTTAGAAGGGTGGAGTGTGGACTCCACCCTTCCAGTTTCGTTCTGACGGCTGACCTCTTCAGCTTTGATTTTCGAGTCTGGAAAATTTTTAAGGTTGAACGTAATAGTCAGCCAAGTGTATATAATTGATAATGATATTGATAATAAAACTGTTGATCTGTTATTCACAAATTGATGAGAAAATTAAACAAATATTGTACCTAAGCCTGTAAATCACAAGTTATACTGTATTTTACTTTTCTCATTACTGTATGAATTCTTCACCATTATATGTGCTTTGCTTTCTCAGTTTTATCAATAATTAATCAGTTGGTACTTGAGTTCCTGGTATGTGTAGAAATCATTGATACATCTGCGGTCTGCCTTGAAAAGGTAACATCTTGTGTTGCCATTCTTTGTTCATCAAAGTTGTGGTCAGAGAGCATCACACCAGTGTATCACTAATCAGTGGTCTATAATATATTGCTATCTTAGAAATGGCAAGCATGGACCTTGTGGGTTCCAAAAGGAGTTGGTATGGGCTAACATTTTACAGGTTAACAACCTTGCCTATAGGCAAGGTTGTTTGGTAGATATGGAAGGTCCTTGGCTTGATTCACTACAGCATTGCTTTTCATGCCACACGGGTCCACGTCTATCAACTTATACTTCCTAACAAATAACAAAATAAAAAATAAAACAATATGCTGAGTCATAAAGGTGTTAAGAACTCCTTTATGTTTTGCTTAAAGTACAAATAGTTAGCATTTTATATAAATCTGTCTGAATACATTATGCAGCTTATCAAGAGTTTAATGCTAAGCAATACATGTGAAGACTGACACACATGTACATACTAGGCAGCAAACAAAGCCTGGGTTTCAGTTGTGGTTTTATTTGTATTGCTATTGTATTGTCATTGTCTCTGAGGAAAACAATAAGCCTGTACCTATACGCTGACATATGTGAACATACTAAGCAACAAACATGAACACTTCTTAAGTTTTAGGAAATTCATCAACTGTGCATGACAATAACTCAATCATTTTCTTGATACATACCTAATCGCTAACTCCAGACTCCCAAGTGTCCAAGCTGCAAACTACCTACCTCAAAGTTGATGAATCTCCAAGGCATAAGACACACACAATAGCATTACATTAAAGGGACCCTCCCACCTTAACATTAGTTTTTGAGTTGAGATAGCCAAATTGGTGGCCATGGCCTGAAAATACCGGTTTGGGCATTCACAACATCGAAAAATGCTTTAATTCGGAGATATGGAATTTCAAACTTGCAGTTTTCGGATTCTAAGGGGCTAATGCATTGGTATGCCCCCTTAGAATTTGTGACGTCAGCGGAGATCTAACGATTTTTAAATCTTTTACTAAAACGTTTGGCAGCACGCGGTGGTATATGCTGCTTTGCGCGCAACAAATGCCGCACTTTCAAATAAAGTCGCTAGGAACAGCGGATATCCCAAAAAGTAAACAAAAGTAAAAGTCTAATATCTTGAAAACCGGTGAATATTTTTCATTGAAATTTGGTAGATATTCATTTTTGCTCTTTCTGAACCGAGCGACATCACTTTCATGCCAATTCATTAACTTTTTTGAAGGTGGGAGGGTCCCTTTAAGTAGAATGCATGACAGTTCATTGCAATTTTAACGCTGTTCTTCATCTGAGAGCTGTGGTGTGGTGTCCTGCAGTCTCCGGTCTCCATGTGACCGACTCTAACTTCTGTGCACAATAGCTGTCTGCGTGGTTTGTCGAGCATGCCAGCTGTGCAGCCCATTTGTATCTGTCACAGCGTGCCGTCTCCAGTCGGTCCCCCGCCTTCAGCTGCGGTCACACGCGGCTTCTCGCCGGATCAGTGGCGCACCATCAATCAGCGGGGGCGCGTGACGGTGCGGACAGGCCGGCCCTGACCGCCCCTTTACCCTGCCCGCCGGCAGGCCAGGGTCGCTGGTAACCCGTGGCTGGTGACCTGTGGCCTGTGAGTTGTGACCGAAGATGCAGAACTTCACCGGCGGCTCGGCGGCCGTGCCGGTCACCCAGGTGGAACTGACCCTGTCATGTCGGTGAGTGAGTGAATGGATGATTAATGAATGTGGTTAATGAGTGTGTACGAGCGAGCAAGAGGGCGTGCGCGGGTGAGAAGTCAACAGTCTCGGATAGGGGTTTCGGAGTTGTGAGACATTTTATAAGCTTTTGGGACTTCGGTGTCTATTTGCAATCCTGTGCTGTTGAAGGAATGTGTGTGCTCCCACCAACTCCGAGTCACCCAAATCTGCAATCAATCGATGTTATCTGACCTCTGACCTCTGTGACCTCTGGCCTTAATTGACCTCTGACCTCTGTGACCTCTGACATCTGACCTCTCTGACCTCCTCCCCCAGGCACCTGGCGGACATGGACGTGTTCTCCAAGTCGGACCCGATGGTGGTCGTCTCGGTGGCACCGTTCGGCTCGTCAGCACGCGACAGACGCTGGGACGAGTACAAGCGCACCGAGGTGGTGCAGGATAACCTGAACCCCGACTTTGCCACCAAGGTGCCCATCGCCTACCGGTTCGAGGAGCAGCAGTTTCTACGGTGAGCGCCCGGCGGCCGGCCGGCTGTGACTCCGCCTGGCCGGCCGAGTGGCTTGTGTTAGGAGCTGTGGACGCTGGGGACGCTGAGGCTGGATCCTACTAGCGCCAGCTTTCAGTCAGAGTCGCGATGACATTTGGGGATGGAACGGAAGTGACAGATGCTCAATCGGTCAGTTAATTGACCATGGCCTATCTCAACAGGCACCGTTCTTCACTCGGGGTAGTGGAATGGGTTCATTGCGTTGTTTATTTCAATATAGTATGCTGTTAGTAAAGCCCTCCTGGCACAAAAACATTGGAAACTAGGTAGGTAGGAACTAGAAAGTCGTATATAATACGCTCTGCATTAGCGTAAGACGCTTAGCGTAATGACCTAGTGTTGTACTAAGAAGCGGTTTCGGAAACGGTTGGCATCATTATCACTGCTCCTGGACCACAACGGACTGTGGAAATCTCGTACAGGGACCCGCAGTTGCTACTGTACAGCTGCGACCCTGAGTAAATTGTCCCAGCACCCTCACAGGGAACAACGATAAGCTGTCAGAGGGTACTCACAGGAAACCTCAGCTGGTCTTGTACAGGGACCAGCAGTCGATATCAATGTTATCGGTTGTTACTGGACAGGACAGACGGTTAGACTTGGGGATTGTGTACAGTAGCAACTGCGGGTCCCCGTACCATCTATACACAGACAATATGAGTTGACATTGTATTTTCAGACAGTCCGACGTGTAGTTTCCTTCCGTCTCGGTTTCCAGTACGATAGTGCCCGGGTAGTCCCTCAGATGTCATCAGGCCCGGACCGGACGTACCGCGCGGGCTCTGATCTGACCCTGGTGTAATTGGACGTAAGTGCACGAGACCGCAAGCCCGCCGGGCCGCAGACGCTGGTAGTTAGGACGGCGCTACTGCTTAGGATTGCTTTCAGCTGCGGGACGTACCGTACGGCGGGAAGGCCCGTCCGTGAGCCGCGCGCTGTGAAGTCACGTGACGCGCCGTGACGCCGTAGCGTCGGCTAATGGTGCCGAGCAGGGGCGTGCTCCCCGGGGTACCGCCGCACACAGCCGCTATCCGGGTTCAGAAATGGCCAATACCCTAATTTTCGACAAATTTTAAAGCGTGCTTTTCTCACATTTTCTGGTCGTAAATTGATCAGACTGTTTAAAGGTAGACTGCCACCTTTTTTTCCACAAAACGGTTTTCACTAGAGCTGAGCCACCTATGTCCCAGACTGAAGTCGGTTTTCCGAAATTCGAACCCGTTTGCGAGAAATCGGAGACCAAAGTTCAGTTTGATGCCATTTTTTTAGTCCAAGAAAACCGACATCTCTACTGTTTATCGATAACTTTGAAACACGAATTTTCTTATCTTTTGATAAATATATGTCAAAACTTTGATTGTTTCGAGATCAGAGAAGAATTTTGGAGTGTCAAAATAAAAGTTAAACTTATATATTCAGTAGTTCATTTTTTCCAAAAAAGTGTGGGAAATGGGGTTTAACATGGGCCAGACCCATTCCAAATGAGCCATAATTTTTAAATGTTTTACGAACTTAAATGCAAAATAAATTAAACATGGCCAATTTCTTATGAAATCATATATTAGTAAATCATAAAATACCTTACTTTTTCAAATAAAATGTAATAATCTTATGACCTTGAAGTCTAGTGATGTGTAAACATTGTCGCTAGACATTAACCGATTGATAATTGTATGATAATCGACATTTTTTTTTCGCGATTCACGTGATGATACTTTGTCAGGTGAATTCTAAAATTTTGTTTTGTCCAGGGAATAAATCATAGGCCGATCTGAGAAAACTTTTTGAAGGTGGCAGTCTTCCTTTAAAGTATCATCCAGATTACTCATTCTGGCACAGATTGGTGGGCTCCCAAAGTACACCGTTTTGTTTTGCTCCGTGAGACCGAACTTGTGCTGCGATCTTCATGTAAATGTTGACGAGTCTCCTGTCATATTCTTTGCTTGAAAATGCGTAAGTAAGATATCAGCTAAAAGGGGAAAATGTGCGGAATCCATTGGTAACAAAAGTGCATCTAAAAAACTTCCCACTCAGTTATTGTAAGCTAAATGTTGCACACTTGCACAAAGCAGAAGGGCTTGAGGATTTCAATATTTACATAGGCCTGCCAAAAAACGCACAACGTGCTTCACATCGAGACAACGTCCATAACATATACCGTACAATTGTGATTCATTTGCTGAAGAACTTAGGTTGGCATCACACTTCCGGCAAAAGTTATTGCAGTTCGAGTGACGCTAGGTCGCCGCCCGGCCGACCCCGGTCAGGTCGGCCGGGCGGCGGCCGCGCAGCTGACGTCTGTGCGATTCGGCAGCTGACCAATCAGCTGCGAGAGAGGAGCGCGGTCCGTCTAATCGCCCCCGGCAGTTGCTTGTGCGGAAGGGTGCTCGACGCTCGTGTCGATTGCATTTGTTGGTTGTCGATTGTCAATTGACTTAAGGGGTATACTTTCTGGTGACCAATAAATGTACGTCGTCTTAACTGAATGTAGTCTGATCAAATTCAATAAAGCAAAAAGACATCCAGCCAACAGAACATCGTAAGAATGTCCGATATGGTTGATAACATTTAGAGTTTTGGGGAGCAGCCATCGACCAGAATAAAGCTTATTGGCTTTTGTATGTAACATTTGCATTGCTTTTGGAAAGTTTCAGTCAGATATCTTCAGAAATGGCAATGTTATCGGCTTTTGCATTTTACCGTAGTCGGTTAATCACAATTCTCGATATTGCAAAGGCAATTTCAGTACTGACATCGAAAACCAAAACGAATAGCATCATCGTGTTCCAGAGCTCAAATTGCATCCGATGCACATATTTTTTTTGTTGAGAATGTTCAACTTCAAAATTTGACCTTTTTGACCTCGCCGTGACCTGACCTTCATTTGTCGAATGGAAATAGTTTCGAATCGGACGACCCAGATGACATCATTTTTAGATGCTTTTGCCGAAATGGACATTAAAGATGTGTCGCATGACCTTAAAAATGTATACATTTCCTTCCATGACCTTTTCCGTGACCTTTTGTGACCCATGACCTTTCCATGACCTTTTGTGACAAAGTTAGGTTTCGTTTGTCAGCTATTCCTATCAGAAACCGTTTGAATTTTTAGTATTGAACGAGTAGTTTCGAAGACAGCAGGGAAGCTATGCAGAATCCCCTCCCTAGTCACCCATGTTATGGGATATACCCGTCATCCGCGGATTACAAGCAAACATATTTTTACGGCAATGCTGGATCAGCAGGATGGTCATACGTTTCCATACGTAACCTTACGGTTTACTTCACATATAATAAAAATTTCTTGGCAAAATGTCAACTGGTTAACGAGTTATCGCATTTTGGCCACTTCCGAACTCAAATAGCGGCTGTGTGCGCCGGGGTCGTTAGGGACGAGAACTGCAGCGGGTCTCCCCGCGCCGGCCGGGCGCCCGCCGGGCCCGGCCCGCCGGTCCGCAACTTCATGATTTTATCGATAAAGAAACACCGCCCTTGTTGATATGCTGTCAGCCTGCTAGATGTATCTTCGGCTGGTGTCCCTATTTCATGCGGTTTTAGTCCTGCCTTTTTTGCATGATATCTGATAGATGGTCGTCCGTTGCTTATTAGCAATTTTATTTACAGATTAGCCGGACACGACTATGCTGTATTGCTTAGTATGTAGGTCAGCTTAGCCTGGACCGTAATCCTGATTATGGTGCTATGCGTTTTTGGTCAATAAAGTAATTTATGTAATGGTGAACGATTTTTTTTTTCATGTGCAGTTAGATTTATGAAAATACGTTTTAGCCATTACCTATAAAATATGTTGCCCCGATTCATGCTGACGTAGATCATACACCATAATGGAACTGCGATTGACTCGCTTTTTGGGATCCGCTTTGTAAATTTGATCGCTAAGCTTAATGTCAAATACCAAAAGTACGTCGGAAACTATGGTATCACCCTAGAATATCTAGTTTCTTTTCAACAGGTAGCATTTCTATCAATACCTGGTAGGGTGCGTGGGAAGGTACAAATTTATTTTGATCCACCCCGTCACCGTCACCCGGATCAGGCTGCCGATCAGGGAATGCCGCTGAGTGCGAGCGGTCCTTACGTAGATAGTTGGGACATTCCCCGCTGTTTTTAAATTGGTCTGGCTCGGTACCGAGTTCACGTCAATCTCCGCAATAAATGTTTCATTATTGTGAGATTGACTCGTGGGCGGTACCTGCAGCCTTTCAGTGAGGATTACTAAGTCCTTTTTACTGTTTGTTCATCTTCTTGCCGGCCATACTTTCTGATTCCCCTGGTTTATTTTGTCGCTGGTGACGTAGTCTGATTCCTATTGGCGCATTGTCGGGTAAGTATGAAAATGTGGAGAAGCTCGGAGAGTTCCGGGAGTTTAGGAGGACTTTTCTTTTTTCCTGCATCTTGCCCTTCTGATCCGGATCTAAGAAGTGAGCTCCTCATGGGCGGGGTCCGGGAGGGTAGTTACCTACCGTACCACTGCGTCCGGGAGGGCGGGTGTCGAGTGTCGACGGAGCGGAGCAAGATGGTCAAAAAAGTGGCGCCTGAAGAAATGATACTTATAGGTAGGAGAGCAATTTTTAAGGTGCTCACTCAAGTGCTGTTTATTGCTGACGTGAATACCATGGAAGAACGATGTTTGCTCCAGCGACCGACGGCTTGCGTTCAGGGTATGATGGTTCGCACTTTGCAGTACGGTAAACGACGTTTGAGAGAAGGCTAAGTTGGTGAGACGGGGTTGGGTTTTTAGGGCGAGTGGTCATACTGATAAAAAAGTCCAACGTGGCAATGCTTGAAAAAGTCAGCAGGTACCCTTACCCGTGTATTATTGAGGAAGTGATACTCCGTTGCAACTATGGTTGTCAAACTATAAATCCATTCCGGTAACTGGTGTTATCTCAGCTATCGTGAATCCTATAGCTTTTTCCTGCGACTTTTGTTTGTCTTTGTGACTATCGTGATGTTCATTTCACGACTCATTGACGTGTACTTCATGACGTACGTGACGTGCATTTCACGACTCCCCTAACCCTCACACCGCGTCTCTCCCTCCGTCGTCAGGTTCGACGTGTACGACGTGGACTCGTCGTCTGCCCGGCTGGAGGAGCACGACTTCCTGGGCCGGCGCGAGTGCACGCTCGGCGAGCTGGTGTCGGCGCGCGTCTCCGAGCTGCCGCTGCAGGGCGGCCCGCCCAGCGGCGCGCAGCCGGCCACGCTGATCGTGCACGCCGAGGAGATGCTGGGCTCCAAGGAGGAGGCGGTGCTGCAGTTCTGCGGCAGGAAGCTGGACAAAAAGGACTGGCTGTGGGGCAAGTCGGACCCGTACCTGGAGCTGTTCAAGTCGACCGAGGAGGGTCAGTGGGTGCTCGTCTCGCGCACGGAGGTGCTCAAACGGACGCTGAACCCCGACTGGCGGCCGGTGACCGTGTCGGTGGGCTCGCTGTGTAACGGCGACTACCAGCGCAACATCCGCGCCGTCTGCTGGGACTGGAACGCCAGCGGCACGCCCGACCTCATCGGCGAGTGCTTCTTCACGCTGCAGCAGCTGCGCGACGCCACCAAACCGGCCGCCTTCGACTGCATCAACAAGGAGAAACAGGTGCGTGCGTGACGGCCCGACTGCGTGTGAGCGTGGGCGTGGGGTTGGGAGGGGGTGTGACGTATGTGTGTGTGCGTGGGGTGGGGGGATGGGGAGGGCGTGGCGTGGGGTGTTTGTTGGAGGATCTTTATATCACTGGTAAACCAAGACCATTCGAACTCAAACTGCGGCTCTTATCTCATTTATCATTATGTATTTGAGGGGCAGGGCAATGGGTAAATGTGTTTTTACTGCATTCTAGAACATATTTGCATTGTTTGTCTACCATTCCCCATTTTTACGTTGTTTGTTTACATTGCTCCTTTCACGTAATTAATTTACGTCGTTCCGAGGCGTTTTATATGTAGCAGCACTCTAGAATTACTATAGGATTAACGTGATTGCTGCCATAAATCTGTTCGTAGGACAATAGCTCGCAGTCGCCAAATTGATGGGAAAGGACTTGCTACGAAGGAAGACGCCTCTTTTCTTAAACAACCTAAAGATACAATGGAAAGCTTTTAGAATGCCTTCAAGTAGGCAAATATTTTGGATTATTGGATACCATTTGGATATTTGTCGTCGGAAAAGTGCGTTTGGGCCACGATGATATCGTGAATTAGGATGAATTAGAATACTCGTATGCATAATGAGTTATTTTTATGGTTCAAGAAGCATATCGTTCTGACGTACGCTCGTCGTTCACGGGTCTAGAATTGGCTGATGAATTATGGCCATACATAATTTGCAATTTACATTGTGATATTACTGATTACTATTAAGTCTGATCTCGATCTAATGCTGGTCCTATTTCTGTCAAGACCTATCCCAGTGCATTGCAAACGGCCGAGAGGCCTACCATCTGCCGGCTTAATCCGGCGGCGCATTCATTTGAATTCAATTGTGCTCCTTTACCGCGTTAATCGCCCTCGGCTGATGGGTGGCAGCCTTTTTGCCGGTGAGCCGGCTTTCGCAGCGCCGCGCGCCGCCCCCGCCCTCCGCTCTGAGCCGCCATCGGCGGTTTTTGACGGCGGCGAACTCCGCTCTCTGAGGAGGCGACTGATGGCGAACTGCAAAGCTCGTCTGAGAGCTCCTCTAGCCGCCCTCGCCCCCCGCCTCGCCACTTTGAGACAGACGGCTGGATGACTTCTGGCAGTTTTTCCTCACGGTTGAACTTGAGTGGTCGGATAGTTGTGCTAGATTGATAGCTCTTTGGGTTTTCTGTGGGCCTTTAAATGACACTTAATGAGACTCAAGATTGAGGTTCTTTTTGCGTATGGATTTTAGTTAATCAGTGGCAGCTCACGTTTTCCTTTTTGTGCTAGAAAATGTAGTCAAGCGTGGTGTCTGATGATATCCAGTGGCGCCTCTGATTATTTGAATAAGCCCGATGTTTTACTATTTTAAAACCATTTGACTATTGAGTGCATATTCAATTTTCCGCGTCACAAGCCAGTACGTTATTGATGGCGAGGACTGACTGCAGCCGTATTGTTTATCCTCCGCCTTCAAAGCTGACCCAAGGCCGCAATTTGTCGGAGCTTGCGGCAGGAATGGTTCTGAGGGCGTATAACTTCTCAAGTTCTGCCCATCTCACCGATAAGTTTATCCATTCATTGCACTATCGATGTTGATCAGAGCCGATAGAGCCAGAGGATGTGAGTGGCGCGTTACGGTGGCGGTCTGCGCGGCGTCGCTCGGCGATAGCGTTAGCTCGGTCCGTGCTGCTCCTCCTGGCTATGTCATGACAGAACCTGACCTGATGGTATGATCTGGCTGGATCTACACAGGTGCCTTGTGTACAGGTGTCAGTAGTTTTTGTGATGAGTGTGCGTTATTGTACATTACAGTTCCGTGGAATGCATTTTCACTTCAAGTAGGAAAGCAAATGCCTTATTTTATCTTGCACAAGTGGACCAATGTTAAGGCTCAACTAATTTCGAATCAAAGTATCTGGGCAATGCACTGATGCCGTTTTAAGCCTCAGCCGGAAAGCTCAATGTGCATCCATGTAAATTCAATCAAACTAGCAGGATGATGCTGATAAACATCAACAAAATATGTTCCGAAAATGACTGACACACTGCTGTCCGGACAGATTGGTCGGAGATGCGTACTCCGCTTGGTAGTATGATAATTCCGCTACTGGGAGGCTTCCCAGAGGCGGTTATAGTCCTAATTTCGTATCCTATTGATTTAGGACTCTGTGTGAAGGTTTGTTTGTGGCCCAGAACAGCGATTGTCACTATCCGAATATGAAATAGCTCTTTGCCTGACTGCTTTCGGGCCCTGTGATGCCGCTTGGTTTGACCAAGAGCACAATAAAGTTATCAACTTCCCACTGGACTGAAGGCAGCACTATCGATAGGCAATGGGCAATCATGAACGTATTTGGCGTCTATTTGTCTTAAATTCGATGGTGGTCGTAAAACCAATGATGCTTCAATATTCCTGAATTGGAAACCCTGAGCCAAAACGTCTTAACTCTTAAATGACTGCCAAACTAAATACATTTTTATTCTACATTCTGATTAATCGCCCGCCATTGGCCGTCATTATTTATCTCACAAATTGAGCCACCGTACCGTGATGCACATTCTCCGCTGCCTTTCTGGTATGATGCCGCCTCGCTCTCCCGCCCAACCCGCTCTCTTTGACCGATCGGTACCCCGCACCCCGTCTGTGCGGCAGGCGCGGAAGGGCTCCTCGTACCGAAACTCCGGCCAGATCATCCTGCAGAGCTGCCAGATCCGCGTGCAGCACACGTTCCTGGACTACATCCAGGGCGGCACCGAGCTGGCCTGCACCATCGCTATCGACTTCACAGGTGAGCGTCAGAGACTTCACACCTTAGGGCTGAGTTCGACGTTGGAACGCTCTGTTCCTCTGCTCGGTAACGAACTAGCTTGCCGCGGCATAGCTGTGTCACTGGACTCTGTAACGTTCTGTTACTGTTGTCGAGCGTTTGTACATCAGAGTTGACTAGGGGAGGGGAGGGACGAGGAGAGGGGTGGTGACAGTGACGTCATAATGACGTCACAGTGCCGCTACCCCTGCTGCTGTCGGGAGCCGGAAATTGGTGGCAGCAGAACAGCAGATAACACAACTTGGCACGGTGCAACAAGCTGCTAATGATAAACAATACAAACAAGTGCAAACAAACAGAGTGAACAAATGCAAACGAACGGTAATGAATTATGTAATAAGGGTGGCTATAAGTTATAACTGTACAGCAGTCATGAGACATGAAGTATGATTTTCCTATTCATTATGATCCGTAGAGGTATACACTGACATCATGGCATTATTGACCTTTAGTTCCCAAGCAACACAAGTAGCAGGACTTCTGGAATACTTCTCAAGATCACCTTCCTCAAAAGGCTGGGGCGCTGTTCAGCGAGTGTAAATGGGGCTATTTTTGGCAGCGTCAGTTTTGGTGGATAAATGTCACACTACTCAAAGATGATGGAATGTTTCATATGCCGATGCTTTCATCAGTGTTGCGAACTGTGGCCAGCTAGTTCGCGATGAATAACCGTGTCTAAACGTGTGTGTCCAATGTCCATTCTCCTTCCCCTGCCCATAATTTGTCACACTCGGGATTATTCCACCACTGACGTCACTATCTGCCCCGGCCTGCCACCAGTGACGTCACTAACTACCCCGACCCTCTCTGGCAGCGTCCAACGGTAACCCCATGCAGCCGGACTCGCTGCACTACCTGGGCCGGGACGCCGCCGGGCGCATCAGCAACCCGTACGTGACGGCGCTACGGGCCGTCGGTAACATCATCCAGGACTACGACAGCGACAAACAGTTCCCCGTGCTCGGGTTCGGCGCGCGCGTGCCGCCGGCCGGCATCGTCAGCCACGAGTTCTTCGTCAACATCGGAGCCGAGACGCCGTTCTGCTACGGCATCGAAGGTAGTGGGGTGCGAATGCGGAGTTTCTCGGGGAAACTGGATGGTGATGCAGAGTCTGGCTCGAGTGGTAGCTGGGGTCGGGTTGGTAACAAGCTGAGTGGTAAGAAACTCAGAGGAATGATGAGTCGTTTGTTTGCGGTTATGGCAAAGCATGGGGAATGTGATACATGGTGACTTGTGTCCTAACTTGTGTTAGTGACTATTTACATGTCTTGCGTTCCTGTTCTTTGAAGGTTTGGTGGCGTCTTGGTTTGTCTCAAATGATTGAAATTTAAAACGAATAGAATTAGTTAGCGAAAGTTTGAAAAGCAATGTGGTGGTGGCGTCTTTCAAAATGCATCATATCACAACATAACTTATCTTCTCTAGTGACTTTTAGTTAGCAACTACTTAGCATACTACCCAGTAACCCTGACTGGTGTAGTCCCATTAGTTCTCCGGTGCGTTGTCTCCGCCGATAGTGTCCCTCTAACCCGCCCCGGCTCCGACAGGGGTGGTGGCCGCCTACGAGCGCTGCCTGCCCCAGATCCAGCTGTACGGACCGACCAACTTCGCCCCGGTGATCCAGCACGTGGCAAACTTTGCCAGCCGGTACCGCGACGGCAGCCAGTACTTCATCCTGCTCATCATCACCGACGGCGTCATCACCGACATGCCGCAGACCAAACAGGTGAGCTCGGTGATCCACAACAAACAGGTGGGCTGGGAGGGGCAGGCTCAGAGGACCAGGCTGCTGTGTCAGACAGTGACAGCAGGGCGGACCAGGCAGGTATATCAGGCACCCACTGTATGACGAAGAGGCGCGTCAAACACTCACAGTGTAACAAACAGGTGCGACAAACACTCAATGTAGCAAACAGGTCCGTCAAACACTCACATTAGACGAAACAGGTGCGTTAGACACCCACATTACATAAAAGAGGTCCTTCGCAGACCTGCAGCGAACCAAATAGGTGCGTAACGAGATTTGAGCATGCTCATATGTTGACATGTGATGTTCATGAAATGTGAAGGAAATGCTGATTTTATACATGAATTTCATCGACAGCATGCACTTATTATACAAGCTATGTATTGATTTGCCTCGCATTCTTCTAGTGAAGCTGCATGTGGGTCCTGGATTGGTGTGCACTGCTGAACAATGACATTGCACTGTTTCTAGGACGTGTGTCATGGGATGCTTACGTAGCTTACATGGCTACGTAGATAAGCGCAGTTTATCGCTTGCAAATTAGATGCCACTGCATACTAGACGGATGGCAGCACGAACACTAATTTGTAGAATTTAACGGCAGCTGCACTGGATTTCGAACTAATTGCATACGCCTCGTGACACATCTATTTGTATAGATCGTCTACCCCAGAAATCGATGAGAGCTTATGTCTGGTGTGAGGATCATACGTCCTTGCCAAAACACCTGGTAAATGGCTGTTCTGTAAATGATTAGACTAAAGGTGTTCTCAGTCATTGCTCCAACAGTTCAGCGTGGGTCGGTTTATTTACGCCAAATACTGACTGACTAAATAGCCGATTGCTGGAGCGTTGGTGGGGAGATTGACAACAGCTAGGTCTTAGTAAAATGTCCCAGTATTACTGGTATTTATATGGCAATTTAATTGTTAAACGACGCATACTATTCAATAAATTTGATCTCCCATGAGTTTTTATCATATACTTCAGTGCCTGTAAATGTTATCAGTCTTCGAAGCTAATTGATCGTCAATCGGCCAGTAAAAGCTAAACGTCCGTCATATCCCGACAACGGTCATCACTATCCACCCAATCAGCCGCCGTCTCAGCGGCTCGAGGGCGGCCTGACCGAGCCCGTCAGTTACCCTGTCCCTGACCTGACCTGCCCTGACCTGGGTTGGCCTGGGGATATTTGACGCGTTCCTGATATGGGCTGGCCTAGGTATGTGATATTTGACGCGTTCCTAACCTGCCCTGACCTAGACTCATCAGTGGCGATCAGACGCGTCCCTGACCTGACTTGGGGTGACCTGGGGTGATTTGACGCGCTCCTAACCCGCGGTACCCGTTCGGCAGGCGATTGTGAGCGCCTCCAGCCTGCCGCTGTCCATCATTATCGTGGGCGTGGGCGGCGCCGAGTTCGACGCCATGGAGGAGCTGGACGGTGACGAGGTGCGTCTGACGGCCGGCGGCCGCGCCGCGCAGCGCGACATCGTGCAATTCGTGCCGCTGCGCCGGCTGTCGGGCGGCGACCCGGCCGCCGTCAGGACCCGGCTGGCGCGCGAGGTGCTGGCAGAGGTGCCGGCACAGTTCCTCGGCTACATGCGCAGCGCCGGCATCCAGCCGCAGCCGCCGCGCGCCGCGCCCGTTCCCCTGCCGCCCGACCCGCAGCTCGTCTGAGGCCGGTCGAACGGGGACCTGACCTGACCTGACCTGACGTGGATATTATGGGCGCTCCCCGACCTCTGGGTGACCGGCATCCCGTGTGTCCAGTGTGTCCGGCCTGTCCTGTCTGGTGTGCCCCTGGCTCCCCTTGTACCCACCCCACCCCACCCCGGGGGTTCCACGCCAGACTAGGGGCGGCGCTCGCCCGCTGGGCTGGACTGCTGTGTGCGTGTCTGTGTGCGTGTGGGCGGGGAGGCTGTCAAGTCGGGACTGCCGGCGGTCAGTTTAAGTCCCCGACCTGTCAGATGTGCATTTGGGTTTCCGTGGGTGATGTACTTAGTAATATCGAAATGTGATGCAGCCAAGGGATATTGTTGAAGAGGCCATATAGCTGTTGTCCTGTGTGCTTAATCAGACGATTTTTACTTGTTTTATTTTTGTCGTGGATGAATGCTGGCTGTGGTCCGATTTGAATGGGTTGTTGTTACGATATTTGTTTAAATGTCAGCCTTTATTAATCTGGGAGGTACCGATACTGTTCGCCACTGTCGCTCAATTTGCAGCCGTTTCGCACAGCTCGCGCTGCCGTTTATAATTCGAGGGTCCAACACGCGTCTGCTGCGCACAGATGTGACGTGCCTTAATCACTTCAGTAGCTGCCCAACTGCCCGTGCCCCGGCGTGCTCCGCAGGTGACCTGCGAAGTCAGATAAGAGCTCGCTAGCGGTATGCCATCCACCGTTTGTAGCCAAGTAGCTAGATGAAGGGCCTAGGTCGGTCAGCAGGACCCCGTGGCGCTATGCTCTCAGATCAACCCGAGGGCAGTGGTGTCTTCGTGTGGCGTGCCTCAGATGGGCCGGGCTCTCAGGGCACGCCGCCGCCGCTAAGGTCACTCACACCCTCCCTTTGCTGACGCCACAGGCTCAAATACGCACCGAGCCTGCGCCCGATGTGGTGTTGGTGTGCCAACCGTGGCCCCAAGTGAGAAGCCTTGCTGGTTTTTGCAACAGCTGAGCTTCGTTGTGAGGTTAAATTTAGGTGTTGGTCGACCGAACAATTCCTACCAGTGGCACACGTCTCTTTATTGAGGCTGGCTACGCAGAACCCTGTGTTACATATGGTTGAGGTCGGAGTCATTTCATCTGATGAATTCCTTTTTGTGGAGCATGAAAATAGTCCAACTTCTATCAAACTTGTCGGATAAACTAGAATTATATATAGAATAAATTCGTAGTTGGTGATTTCAGTTGAACCGTTTTTCCACAGCTCTGTGACTGGGCTTCTGCGCGTTTCCACGAGTTTCCATCTATAGCATTATTGCTGCGTCGTTCAAATGTATCCCGTTGCCGTCATACAGGGGCGGTGGGTGACCCCGCGGGATCTCCCTCACCTAATTGTGAAGGGTATGACGCAGCTCAGCTCCCTACCGGTACTAGCTGTATTTAATGGTGTGCATCTGCTGCTGCTGGGATGCGCTGGGGTGAAAGAAGCCTGTTGCCTTGTGGGGTACACACCGTGTCTGTGGGAGTATATGTCTGTTCGTATCCCCACTTTTCAACACTACCCCATGGTCAGTACAATGTTGTGTGTACTTACAGCATTTTGGTGTCTCGATGTGCAATAGGGCGTGCTTTGATGGATCGTTGCCGCTCGCGTGCCGTGTGTGAGCCCGCGGGTGTGCGTCCCGACCCAGCCCTCCCGGCCGGCCCGCCAGCCCTCTCGCTCCAGCCGGGCCCCGACGACGGACGGGTCGCCGCCGCCGGCCGCTGCAGCTGCCCGCGGTGAGCTCTGTGTACGCTTTGGCCGCTGCGGCGTCTGGGTGCTTCCTCCAACACTGCGAATGTGTGAGCAGAGCTGTGATTGACCTGTCCGCCAGCCTCAACCCGTTGACGTGCCGCAGCGCAGGCGGAGGCTGTTGTCATGTCTCGTCAGAACGCTGACTGGTGTTATGTGGGTACTGAGTTAATCGGCTGCTATCATGTCTCGCCATGGAGCGCTGTGATCTGTCAGGACCGCGGGCTGCAGCTGCCCCTTCTCGGGGCGTCTGGCGGCGCTCTTTCGCACTTGCCTGTCTAACCACGTGACCAGTTACTCCCTATTCCTCATATTCTTGATTCACATGTATTTTGCTACTGCTTTTAACTGCGTCGACATGCGCCACCCGCTCGCTGTGTCGCGGAGATGAATCGAACTCCGTGCGCTTTAACTGCCTGCCTGTCATTACCGTGCCTATTACAGTTCACCTCAGGGACTGTGGGGCATCAGTGGGGTTTCTGTGAAATACACATCAACGAATCATATTATGATCGTTTTATTTGAGCTAAAGAACATGGAAGATCGTCGGGGATCGCACATCATGAGTCGGGCGGCGCGTGCGGGAACATTATTGTCTTCACAAACAAACAGTATGCGGCTTCCACCCGACGCGTGTCCCACAACAAACACATACAAATACACCGACACACCCACACGGACGCAGCCGCCCACAACCAGCCTCTGGCGGCCAGGACAGCACAGTCGTCCACAGTCCGACTCCGGGCCGGTTGAGACGGCGTAGTCTTACCATGTCCGCCTGTGGGGCGGCCGGTCAAACAGAGGCCATAAACCGGCACGGGCGAAACAGACTCGCCACAGTAAACAAAAACGACACGCGGGCGCACCGGCGGAGCGGGCAGACTGAGGTACCGGCCCGGCCCTCACGGCCGTCCGACCGGCACCGGCTGTCCGTGAAGCCGCCGCGTGCGGCCGGCGGCGGCGGCGGCAGGCGTCTATCACAGAAGGGCTCGCGGGGCGGCGCGCGGCGCATCACACCAGGCGCGGCTGGTGCCAGACCACGCTGCCGCCCAGACAGCCCGTCACCAGCAGACACTCGCACGGCGAGAACTTGGCCGTCACCACAGCGCGCTTGTGGGACGAGGTGGCGGCCAGCTCGTGCAGCGGCCGCGCCGGCGGCGCCCAGCACGTGCTCAGCTCCTGGCCCGTCTCGCTGAAGGCCAGCAGCCGCACGCCGTGGCCGAACGGGGAGCAGAGCAGCCGGCCGTCGGCGCTGAAGCACAGCTCCTTGATGAAGCCGTGCGTCAGTCGCAGGTTGGGCTCCTCGATGTAGCGCGTCAGGCGCGGCCGGTTCTGCGCGATCTGGTGGCTCAGGTCCACCTGACGGTAGCGCTCCCTCGCGCGCGCCTGGGAGCCGATCAGGAACACCGAGTCGGCGCCGCCGCCGTGCCGACTCGGACCGGCGCGGATGATGAACGGACCCTGAGCGTCGCCGCCGACATCGGGCGACTCACCGCGCTCGAGCGCGCGCTGGCGGCGCCGGTGCTCGCGGATGATCTCGAGCGCCTCGACCACGTCTGCCGAGGGCGCGCGCAGCTCGATGCTGCGGCCGGCCAGCTCGTGGATCAGACTGGGCTCGCCGGCGCCGTGGCGCAGCGTGGCGTTGAAGCGGATCTGCATGAGCGGCCGACGTCGGGCCGTGTCGCCGGCGCCCGGCTCCTCGGGCTCGGCCTCTCCGTCCGGCCGCCGGCCGTTGACGCGGATCGTGAACAGCGAGCCGGTCGACTGGGAGATGTCCTGCAGCTCCCGCAGCGGGTCCGGGCTGCTGGCCGCCGGCCGCCGCGACCGCTCGTCGTCGGCCAGCTGCTCTGGCGGCGGCGGCGGCGGCGGCGGAGGCAGCTCCGGCTCCGGCGGGTCTCCGGACGAGTCCGGATCCGCGTCTTCGTCTCCGGGCCGCAGCCGCTCGTCCTGGATGTCGTGCACGCACGTCCACTCGGAGGCCTCCTCGCTGCTCGTGTTGCGGCTGGCCACACACCAGCCGAGCGGGTGCATCGCCAGCGAGGCGATCATCTCTGCCTCGTTCCCTGCAGATACACCACGGGGGCGTCAGAAGGGAGGGGCGTAAGTGGTTTAACAGGAAATCAGAAGTCCGAATTGCCGTGTTATGTGTGTCAGATTATCTACTGTAGCAACTCAGTGTTGTTAACGCTTCAAACGAATTAAATATTGAAATAAAAGATTGATGCACGGCCACGGGGCTCTAAGACACAGCAAACAATTCAAAACGTGGACAAATAACCGAAGATTGAAATCGGTCGCGAGCCATACCATAATTGAATGTCAAAAAGTGTCTCAACTCTCAATAATAAAAAACGTTACAGACGACACAAAATGAATGGCTCATGAGCGCGGGGATATACCGGGAGCGCGTTGCAAATGGGGTCCGGAACAGCCCGATGGCCGCAAACGAGGCCGTCTGATCTGCATTGAGAGTAGCGCGGTAAAGTCAGGATGGATGGGCCCATAAACCATCGGGCTGCGAGCCGATCGGTAATGGGTCGCTCGGCGCGACGGGCCCCAAAGCGGCGTCGCGTGCCGCGCCCTTGATGAGCTGCTCAGGCCGCCGACCAGCTCGCCTCAATGCCCCGACAGAGTCCCGCAGCCGGCGTCGACGCTACTGTGAAACATTTAAATTAGCCGAGTTCGCGGCAACTGGCCGACTTCTCGCATCCTCGGCCTTTGATGAGTTAGACTTGAGACGGCGCTATTTCTCATCATTACCGACACGTCGGCGTAGCACAAGAAACTTGGGACGAGAAACGACTGCGGACAAACGGCCGTGGTCAGCGGACGTGGGTGGGCTCAGAGCTAAATTCTGCTTCTATTCGGTAACAACGAACGCAATACCTACTACTCATAGTGATATATGCACTGTGCAGTATATCGTACAATAAAATTACGTGTCTAGCTGATTGTAAGACTACCAATTTCACGCTAACCATGATTCACCAATAATTAGAAATAGGTCGAATATGAATTAAACCTTTAGAGTTTTAAGGTCAGGAAGACAAACAAATAAACGTCCATAAGCTAGCGGCAGCAACGAGAAGATTTCGTATGCCTCAAAGAAGATACGTGTAGTGCAACTTCACTCTATACGGCCAGTTGCAACCTTGTCAAATTCTGGCAAATAGCGAATAGGTAGTGTCGGAATTTCGCAAAAATAGCGTTGCAAAGTTCACAAAAAAAAAATCCACGCTGGCAGAGCAGTGGGGCCAGCGAGTGCCCGTCAGGTACGAAAAACAGCTTCATTTTAGCTTCAGTGCCTACAGATATAACGCAGACCTAAGAGGAAATAAGAAAATCTGCTGGTTGAAAAATGCTCACGGCAGGGCCAAGACGCGCCGCTGTCAATAGCACAAACAGCTGCGACTCTCGCAGTTCGTCGAAGCACTGGCTAAAATTGGTTTGCTAGCGTCCTCTGAAAGGCGGGATGCGAACTGCAGGTCTCGCCATGCACGACAGAGGGCATCGACGTCTGTTCGTTTGAAATGATTCCCCTCATCTACTAGCATATTCTTCCAGACCTCCTGCGCCAAAACACTCGAAGGTTGTGATAACCGAGCAAGGACGCCCAACTCCCGGGTCATTGTCCCTGGTCCCCGACTAGCGACCTCTCCAGCCGACGAGACCGTCGGTTCAAATCAAACCACCCCGTACTGTTGCGGCACTCATGGCACCGTGATACCGTTCGACCTGAGCCGTGAAGAGACGGATGATACCGCCAGCTACCAAGAGACTTCACTGTAGAGAGGACGCTAGCAGCCCGACCCACCTTCGGGAAAGTCTGTGATGAACTCGATCCGGTTGCGCCGTCGAGACGTATCAAACAGGTGCGTGTAGCGGGCAGCCGCAGGGAACGGCGTCTTACTGATCTGCATCAGTTTATACAGGCTCGGCTGGCGACAGAGGGGAGCGGGCGTGTGTCAGAGAGCCGAATATAGACAGGCCAGGACGGGGAACAGAACAAACAATGGCACAATTATACCTCCGGAGCGAGTTAACGTAAACACAGCCGCAGACCAGGGTCAGCGCTCGCTTCCAGATTAGACGCAGGGTTTGCCTGTTTGGTGTGCTGTTCTCCGTATTTCGTGCGCTGAACGGATTCATATAGCCAGTCGCTAAGACAAAACGTGACAAAAAGAACCGCACGTTAAATGTGGCTCAGAAAAGAACACAGAGGCGCAAAAAAGAGCGTCGGAGAATACCGGCTGCCGATTGTCACCAGACTGACCTTGAAGCCCCGCAGGTCTTCCTGCATGGTGTCGAAGTCGACGTCGTGCACCACCATCAGGTAGCCGTTGTTAGTGCAGATCACCAGCTTGCTGAAGTCGGGTGTCAGACTGGTGCGCATCAGGCCGTTGGTGTGCAGTACCCGTGTGTTTTGCGTCCGCTGCTCCGAGCCTCTGCCGCATACCGAGAGAGGGAGAGTCAGGGCAGAAAGGGAGAGTCAGGGTAGAAAGGGAGAGTCAGGGCAGAAAGGGAGATTCAGGGTAGAAAGGGAGAGTCAGAGAGGTGAGAAGAGGAAAGAGCCGAACAGAGAACAGGCCACGAATAAGTTTGGAGAATGGAAACTTAATACAACTGACGTTCATGTCCGTAGCAGCTGGGACAAGGAACAGGGTTTTGGGGAAAATACAGCAGGTCTGCATCGTGGTAGCAAGCAAATAACTCTAACATGGAATCTGATTAAGCAAGAAATGAGCGAACTCCAGGTGATATTGAATGCGAGATAACGCTTACAAGCCAGGTGGACTTAAGTGCAAGTGTCAACTAAACCATCGACATAGGTAACGTAATCTGCCGACCGATCACGCACCCGACGTTGTTCAGATTCCAGGTGTAGATGCTGCCGTCGAAGCCGGACGTGACCAGCAGGCTCTTGTGCGGCAGGTACTCGATGTTCTTCACCCAGTTGCTGTGCGCCTCCAGACAGTGCACCTTCTGGCGCAGATTGCGCACGTCCCAGATGGCCACCGTCTTATCGTCCGAGCACGAGGCGAACATGCGACAGTCCAGGAACCTGCGCAACAATCGGAAGGCTATTGAAAAAGCGAGACGACAAACAAGTTCCACAGAAATGATGACGATGATTTGGGGTTTTGGACTTTCAGACTGCCTGAGATCCTCAGCGCCCACAGTTATAAAGTTAACACAATCTGTAAAAAGCTGGATCGCAAAAGGACGAAGTCGGTCGATTACTCACTTGACGCAGTTGACGTATCCCTGATGCGCTTCCTCCACGGTGTGCACGTTCCGGCGCGTGAGCGTGTCGAACAGAAGCACACAGCGCCGCTCGCAGGCCGCCACCAGCACCTTCCTGCACGCGCCGCAAGCGGGTGGGGAGAACACTGGGTGTTAGTAGGGATTAGGGAAAAGACCACGTTAGCGGTGAGTAACGCTGACCACCGGACCGGTAGTTTAGCGACTTTCGAGTGTAACATGTATGGTCCACGACGCAACAACA